GAGATCGACGACGTGGACGAAGACTGGACATACTCAAAACCATTCGATTATATCCACAGTCGGTTCATGACAGGTGCCATTAACAACTGGAGAAAGTTTTTCGAATCCGCTTACGAGTAAGATTTCGCTCTCTTCTGCCCTTCTTCATTCTCTCGAGAACAGCGATGAGTAATGACAGCCTTCGCGTTGCTGAATAGCCATCTTAACCCCGGCGGGTGGTTCGAGGTCCAAGATGCCGACATCAACCCTCAGTCCGACGACGACACCTTTCCAAAGGACTGCGCATTAGCAGAATACGTACAACTCCTCCAATCTGGCGCCGAAGCCGCTGGCTGTTCCTACGTTGATATACCAGCGCTAGCGGGCCTCATGACCGAGGTTGGTTTCGTGGACGTCTCGATTCAGATGTACAAGTGGCCCATCAATGGGTGGCCAAAAGAAGATAGGTAAGTATAATGCACAAATGACGCCCCCAAAGCATCCATCTTTCACTACCAAATGGACCTTTGTTGGGGCTTGAGTACTAAGGACGATATCAGGTATAAGAAATTAGGCCTCTGGACACAGGAGAACTTCAGCAGTGCTCTCCAGGGGTTATGTATGGCTCTATTTACGCGCGTCCTTGGGTGGTCGAGAGCGAGGGTCGAGGGCTTCCTTATTAATGTGCGCCATGATGTGAGGAATAGGGATTTCCACGCTTACTTTCGAATGTGAGTTGCGAGCCAGCCCTCATGGTAGCCACTTTACGTCAGGTCACTAACAATTGTTTGCAAGATACTGCATCATAGGTCGGAGGCCGTAGAAGGGTGAAGTAATACACATCTGTTTTGGTAGATATCACCAGCAAGAAGAAGACTGTGTGTATAGGAGGTATTACATTTACACAGCCGCAAGGCAAGACTTAACATTTCTTTCCTGCATTCAAGATAGACATTCTGCTTGCCTCATCTTCATGACTACAGTTCCAAAGACGTGAAAAGGTAGGCTACTGTGCGCCACAGAATCCCTGAAAGTGACAAATCTCGACACCTAGACTTTAGGAAAGATCGGTGTACTAATGGTCCGTTGACTCGAGATCAGAGGCATGCGACGCAATATGCGCAAACCCATACCGCAATGTCCCTAGAATACAACTTTTACCTGACAAAGTACCGAATCCTATGCGAATGGCTTTAATCTGAAAGCCGGCAATTGGACAGTGGGTTCAGAAAGGTTCGTTTGTAGCGAAAACAAGACTTGATTCCAATGACTTGCTGGAGGTGTTGGGAGTATATCCCGAGTTGTATCCAGAGACAATATACATCAATGTGGCCCCCACGCGAAATGAACTTTGGCAATCGACTTGGACTTGCCTCAGCAATCATCGGAGGAGTTTCCCTCAGTAGACAGAGCTTCTCGTTTGGGTGCCCATGTTTATCTCAAATGCAGGCTGGTGGATTGGTGACTGTCCGGGCCGGGGGTCTCAGACGGGGCATCTGATCTGGTTGGCAAGGGGTCCGGGGAGCGCGGGATGTGTTCGTCCTCCTTCCACAAATTGCTTCCCGAGCAATCGCAAAAGTTGCGGCGGGTACAGAAACCGTGAACCCTCATTCGCTTGAGCGCTTTTGAGCTCCACATTGTGACGCGAAAGCAGGGGAAAGAGACATCTTGCCAGTCGCTGTTGGTTGCATGTCTTCAGGCCAAGGAAAGAGGGGTCGCAGATGCAGAGTTGACCGGTCAGGTCTCTCGTCACAAAAAGCAGAGACCTCCCCGTCAGGGTTTTATCTTGCTTTCCGGGGGTTTTTTTTTTCTTCCATAGCCAGCGCCGAATTCAAGCGTTATTCAAGTCTTTTGCCTCATTGTTGGGCCCAGAAACAAGCAATTCAAGAGATAGAACATAGGCCCCTACTCCGACCGGAACCAACAAACCCTGTTACGGGACAGACTTTACGACCGATCACGACGCGACAATGGCTGAAGTTGACCACGAAGTCGAAATCGCCGCTGAGGTACTTCTTGGATTGTTCAATTCATGTGGTAGAGAAACTTAAATTCCTATAGGAATCCGATCACAGTGGATCTGAACTCGGTGAGGTATGTTGGATCGTAGGGCCCCATGCCTCCAGCCAGCATGATCGAGACAAGAGCGCGAAGATTTTTGGTCTTTGAACTAATGCAATTCAATCGCATAGAGCGTGGCATCTTCGACGACCAGTCTCAGTGCCTCCATTCTTGAATACCGGATTGAAAATGGCCGGACATATCACCGATACAAGGACGGAAGTGAGTTTAAACTTGCCAGATGACGAGACCCGAGGACTGAATGTACTTACCAATCTTTATCTAAACAGAGTATGGCATGCCTAACGACGAAACGGAGGCGGAACGGCTAGGTACGCTGCAGTGTTGCAAAGTTCCACTGCCGATTTGCTCTTTCTAACAGGTTGGTCTAGACTTCCAGCATGATATTTGCGTCTACACGTTCGACGACAGACTTGGAATGGCGCCGCCATGCGATGATACCGCAAAGGTCGGGCGAGTGCTTGACATTGGAGCTGGAACTGGAAGCTGGGCTATGGATTTCGGTGACTTACACCCTGAGTCCGAGGTACGCTGCAGCATGACCCATGTTTACCTCAATGAAGCGGGAAACAGCTTGAGATCTAACTTAATATTCAGGTACTGGGCGTTGACCTCTCGCCTGTGAGGGCGGATTTGTATGAGATTTCCTCGCTCTAAGCACATCAATTCTTTTTTTAAGCTAATGAAATGGTTACAGCGTACCTCCGAACGTCAGGTTCGAGGTTGACGATGTCGAGGAAGAGTGGACTTATTCTCAGCCTTTTGAGTATATCCACAGCCGATTTATGACCGCAGCTGTTGACGACTGGGATGTATTTATCAAGAGATGCTACGAGTGAGTTACGCAATTAGAGCTGTACTTTCTTTTGAGCTCCCTGTACTGATTGAAGTAGCAATCTTACCCCTGGTGGATACCTGGAACTTCAAGAAGCCGATGTCATGCCCAAGTCTGACGACGACCTCTTGCCCAAAGACTCTTCAATTGTCAAATACGTCAATATGTTGCATGAGGCTTCCGAAATTACGGGTCGCAAATTTATTGAGGCGCCTCCGCTGAAGAACAAGATGATTGAGGCTGGCTTCGTCGACGTTGAGCTCCGCGTCTTCAAGTGGCCTCACAACACCTGGCCCAAGGATGAGAGGTACCCCACTCACTGAAGCAGTGTGAACACACATGAGAAAAGAAGGACAAGGCTAATAGAACCGACTAGGTATAAGAAGCTCGGCTTATGGACGCAGGAGAACTTCGGCTCTGCGCTCGAAGCCTTGTGCATGGCCGCCTTCACCCGCGTGCTCGGCTGGACGCGCGACGAGGTCAACGTCTTCCTCATCGACGTTCGGAATGACCTCAAGAACAAGAGCTACCATGCGTATTGCCCGGTGTAAGTACCCTATTTTACATGAAGTTGTCATGCTGCTTCAGGGTGCTGATAAGAGAGAACAGCTACTGCATCACTGGTCGCAAGCCGGAGAAGGAAAAGACCCCGCCGGTTCCTCAGGAGGAGACGGAGGCAGAGGATGGAGCGTAATGATGATGCGAAGTCAGTGGCTCTCGGCTGCTGGCGGGTTTCTGTAGTCCTAGGTAAAAGGAACCTCTTGGTTGTTGAGAATATGCTTCTGTCCTACAGGCTATCCCCACGTGAAACGATTTGGATCTCTCGCAGCCGTGATGAATGAATCGATTGGTGTAAAACATACAGCGAGATTCATACCAATAATCTGCGCCGCAGCTTTCGAGGCGAAACAACCCGTTGGCCTGACGTTGATCGGGAAGCAGCCGCACGTCAACCTAGCGCCGCAACCGTGAAACGATCCAAATATACGCATGGTGATCGGCCGGTTTTAAGATGCTTGAAACACGGCTATGAGAACCAATAGTAGGAATTCCGATACATGACCGCGCGGTAATAAGACCAACAAGGCCAAAGGCAATGCCAAGTTGGCAAACTGTACAGAAAGAACATTGAAGCCAACGTAGTGCTTGCATCCGGATGGGGGGCTGAGGCGGCAGGATGTTGGAGGACGAGCGCGCCAAGTGTAATCTAGATGCGCCGCAGTGGACTGCCACCAACAGCCCACCACTGAAATGCACTTGTCCACCTTCCGACGGTGCCTAAGGAGGCCCTGTCAAGTTAAGGTGGGCAGCCGTTCGAATCCCCTCGGAAAAGCAAACTAACCTGGCGTTAGGGTCAGTTTCTAGTAAGCTTCAAGGGGAATGTCATTTCAAGCATTCGTGAAAGAGGAGAAAGGAGGAGACTCAAGATGAAGCTAGAACAAATATTGGACTAGGAAGCTTTTAGTGAACCGACACTGGGAACCGGTCCCCCGGCTCAGCCAACCCAGTCCCCGGGGTTACGGGTGCCTAGAAAGGTAGAAGCTCTAGCGGTTTGGCCCAGCGTGCTGGCTTCTCATCCCCCCGGCGTATCTCCGCTTTTCCGTGCGGTGCTGCGGTGAAAAGGCCCGGCGAAGTTCGCTGCGGCACTGCCACTTCCTGCTGTTTCCCCACCCGAAAATAAGCAGAGCACCCGCCAAACTTCTACCGCCGTTTCTAAACTTAGAACCTTTTGGCGGTAGGCAGGATGCAGACACGGCCACACTATGGACACTGCTACACCTGTCACCAACAAGCCTTGCCTGCCTTACCGACTATCTGGTAGATCTTGGAGGATCGTTGGGAGATTGTAATGTTATACTATCGGAACCTGTGTATTTGGAGCTCATAACCACGATGCTTGCTGCAGCATATAACCATGGTGGTACCGCCATTGACGATGTAGGTGGGTGTTGTTCCTGCACCTCTCATCCTCTAATACTCATCGACCTCGAACGAGTGTGATACTCGCTCTAAAGAGTCTAACTTGATGCCCGTCTCGATCTCATCTTGACACCAAAATCACTTACACCGACGCATCATCACCAGCAACATCACACCGACCGCCATGACTTCATCACCCTGCACGCTCGCGACGTGCGACGTCTCCGACAGCCCGTACGGCTACCGCCCGGCACTAACAGGCAGCGCCGTCTTCGCCACCGTCTCGGCCCTCTGCCTCGTCGTCAACGGCGCCGTCGCCGCCCGCTCAACACAACGACACGCAACAACACCATTCTCCGTCATCGTGACCCTCGCCTGCGTGCTCGAGTTGCTCGGCTGGGTGGACCGCATGGCCGGCTGGAGCGATCCGTGGGCTGTGTACCCTCTCCTGCAGAGCAAGGCTCTGCTCACCATTGCCCCCATCTTTGTAACTTCAAGGTACGTCTAAGTTCTTCTGTGGAACCGTGCCAGTCTCTACAAGAATTCTGAATCCGATTCTGATTCTCTGTTTTGCAGTATCTACGTCTGCCTCGCACCAATGGTCCGGATACTAGGCACAGAACACTCCTTCATCAAGCCAGAGCTCTACACTACCATTCTCCTCCCGCTAGACGGCCTTGCCCTCCTCCTACAAATCGTAGGCCTCGGCATCGGCTTCCAAAACGTGCCGTACACCCTCTCACCCCAGGACTCGTACGCACCCAACGACGTGGGCGCGAAAATCGTCTTGGCTGGGCTGGCCGTCCAGTTCGCGACCCTAGTCGCCGCGGGCTTGTCCCTCGCCTTCATCCTCCTCCGCGCAGCCCGGTCCTACCACCAATACGGCTACACCACCTTCCACCGAGACGTGGGCTACGTACCTCTGACGGGCCGCTTTCGCATCTTCGCCGGCGCGGTGCCGTCCGCCATGGTCGTCTTGTTCGGCAGGATGTGTTTCAGGGTCGCCGAGTACGCAGAGGGCTTTCGGGGCCCGCTGGCGAGGGGAGGCGGAGAGGGACTGTTTCTCGGTCTCGAGGGGTTTCTTATCGGGTACGCGCTCTTGGCGATCGTGGGGTGCCACCCAGCGTTGTTTCTAAAGGATGGGAAGATGGTTTCGAGGATCGAGTCTGAGCCGTTTGTCGGTATTGATGGTGTTGGGAGTACTGGTGGGAACGGCGATCACGAGAGGGATTTGGAGGAGCTCAGCAAGGTGTACCAGAGGCATCACGAGGAGGAGCAGAGGTTGTCGAGGTTTGAGCGTGTTTGAAGATGATACCCCCGTTTTAAAAGTAGCGTGCGTTGATAATATCTGGTTCACGATTAAGGAACCTAGTCGAATTTACAGTTTACATATTTTCACTCTGCTTTTGAATTTCTAAGACTTCCCGCTCATAATGGAAACTTGCAGCATTTACCGCATGCCTTAATCATAAATCAAAGGACCCGCAAACCGGCAGGAAGTCTTAGTAGCTCACGTAGGAGAATGGTGTAATCGCAGTGTCTAACATAAATGGCGGAACTGCAACTAGATTGCATACTGTGTCTCAGTAGGTTAGTGTCTACAAAGTGAGAGCCGGGAATCTTCACTCAGCATGTCAACAACAAAGTAGTTAGTCATTGCTACAATTAGTAGCTCAGTACATTTTATGAACATTTTCTACGTATAATCAAGTCTTTTGAACGAGATTCGACAAATATGTAAGCCATCAACTGTACAAGCTTACAAACATGATGGAGCTCTAGTAAGCTCTCCAGACACGGTAGTATTGACAATGGGGTCTCGACTTCTCGGCTCGCACATACCTCGGCAACTGGGGTCAATTCCTCCATACAGAAAGTGTATCCGTCGTCTTATTCTGCAACTCGATCAACACGCATGCGGGAGGGAGCAGGTCTGACAGGACGACTTTACTCAGACCACAAAGTCCACACTTACTGGGACTTTGGGCGCTAACATGATTGGTCTCGAAACGCGATGTCCAAGATCGTCAATAGTGCTTACACGTTGAAAGATGACCGAGATCCACATCGGGACGCCTCACCCGCCAAGGCAATATCACTCTGACTAAATAGACACGGAAATCCATATAAAATGCCATTGCCATTGCGCAATGGAGCCCGTAGGAACATGAACTTTCATCTCTCTCGTAATCTACTCAGACTTGCTTTCCTCTGTTTGCATAGAAAAGTCTAGGCCAAACCACAGCATCCTCCCACAATGTCCAGCAAACCCGTCATCGTACTCACCCCGGGAGCATGGCACTCGCCAGAGCACTTCCGAGACCTCCGCGACGAGCTACACACAAGAGGCTGGGAGACCCGCGGCGTGAGGCATCACTCCGTCGGCTCTGAGCCGCCGAACAAGGGCTTATACGACGACGCGGCCGCCACCGCCGCCGTGCTGCAAGAGCTCGCCGAACAAGGTCGGCAGATCGTCCTGGTCGCTCATTCATACGGCGGTCTCGCGGCGGCCGAAGGCGCAAAAGGGTTTGGGATCAAACAGAGAGCCGCGGAGGGCAAGCCTGGCGGCGTAATTACACTCATGTACCTCGCTGCGTTCGTGGGGCAGAAAGGGCAGAGCATCTTGAGCATGACGGGCAACGTGTATCCCCCGTGGACGAGAGTAGAGGTAAGGAACCTTCTTCCCGGCTTCCTTCGAGAGTCTCGACGAGCTGACAACCTACGTTAGGACGGCCGGATCCATATCGTGACCGCCGACGATCCCCTCTACGGAGACGTTCCTGCAGAGGCAAGGGAAAAGGCAAAGAGCTTGTTGAAGCATCATACGACCGTCTCGTTCGAGGAGACAATGACGTACGAGCCCTGGCATGACATTACCTGCATGTACGTCGGCTGCGAGGACGACCAGGCGATTCCGTACTTTGCGCAGGAGCAGATGCAGCAGCTCCTGGGACCCGAGGCGACCAAGTTGAAGTTGAAGTCTTCGCACTCGCCGTTCCTTTCTGTTCTGTCTGAGACGGCTGATGCTGTTGAGCTTGCTGCGAAGAAGGGGTTGGAGGCTTTACCGGCTTAGACTACACAGTTTTGTTTCGCTGCGGTGGCATACTGCAGCTATGAGTGATGATGAATGAACTCATGTTATTCAGCTCCCGTAAACCAGCGCTAAATATAGCCAGTCTGAAGATCAAAGTAGATGATATATGATGGCGCTTGTGCCGTGCTTGTTGCAGCCTTTGATCTAATTTAGATACAGGTTTGGTTGAAGGTTCGTTATAGGTAAGGTTGTCAGCGCAAAGACATCAAAACCATCTCCAAATGCATTCAACGCATGGGCTCCTTCGTACGCGACTATCAAACCCAGCCATGCCATTGTACGATTGTCGTCTCAACTTTACTCTAACATGTGGGAATTCATGTATTACTTTACTCAACTGAATACCAATTTCATTAACACGTGTATTTCTGAACGGGCAATAATTTGAGTGGCATGGAGGTTGTTGCCTAGGTTAGGTAACTGAATGTAGGGCACAATATCTCTCACATAATATATGAGCGTAATGTCCTGCACCCTAAGGGAATAGCTGGACCGGCATGCAGAGAGCAGTAGGCATCCATCAAAAAGGTGAGCGATATCCGCGGTGCCTTGAGAGATAGATGCCCACGAATGGTCGCCTGAAGAAGACGAGTTCCCCAAAATGGGTTGCTGAGATGAGGTAAGGTTGCCGGGATGCACCCCGCCGTGAAACCCCCACCAAAACCCTTTCCAAGGCACCAGCCTGAGTGCACCTTGACGTAGCCAGCCAAGCAGCAGGAACAGCCGGGATCCCGTGTAGTAAACAAAAGCAGGAAAGCAATCAGCCGAAGCATAGGAAGGTATGTAATTACAAGACTGACTACACTTCGACTTACCTTACTTCACCGAAAGACCCCATTCTCACGCATCACCACCGCAGAAGACTGAACCCCATTCATCGGATATAACCACAAACTTGAATCTTTCACCCCGCCGCTACTCAAAACTTCTTCAGCACCACCTCACCAACAAACAACCATGGCGCCCCCCTCCCAGCTCACCGTCGCGACCCTCTCCGTCACCAGACTCCTCAAGGAGGAGATCTCGTACGAGAAGGAACTCATCCAGCAAAGAGGCAAGGTCACGACTCTGGAGAATGAGATCAAGGAAGGCAAGCCAGATGAGGACGGAAACCGGGAGTACATGCTCAAGCAGCTGGTAGGTTTTCCCATCCGTCACTTACCATTACCGCTGGAGTTCTCGCTCCTCTAAAGTATCAGTGATTCGTTTTTGCGTGTAACACCCCGGCTGACTGACTTTGGGGGGACTAGAAACTCGCGGTCGAGGAGACGCAAAAGGTGTTCCCCGAGCTGAGAACCCGCGTCGAGGACGCGACCGTCAAGCTGGAGGAGCAGATTGCTCTGGCTGAGAGCGGCGGTGCGTCGCCTGAGGAGCTGGAGACGGCGAGACTTGCACTCGCAAAGGGCAAGGAGGAGAAGACGTATCTCAAAGACGACGTCTCTGCTTAGAGTTATGATTATTTCTTTTTCCCTGCGTTCTGATATCAAAGATGAGAAGAGGTTCGGGATTGCGTTGTGTTAAGGACAGGCGAGCGTCAGAGGCAAGATAGCTGCCTGATTTAATGGGTATCTCAATTGAGGGACTATTCTAGGATCTTCCGAAGCACTTGATTTGTTTAGCTGTCCACCTCCATGCTCTCCGGTGCGTCCACTGTGATTTGAGGCGTATCGCCTCCCGAAGTAAGTTGGGTATCATGGCGGTCATCCATCTCAACGTCCTCTCCCTCTTCAATCTCGCCCTCATCATCATCTTGAGGCTGAGGAGTGCCATTTTGACTCGGGACGGCGCTGCCAGATCGCGAAAAGCCGCCCAGGCCACTCGCTCGAGGCTTGAGACCCTCAGATTGATCCTCCGACTGACCCTCGTGCGCCGACGCCGGTCTCGGCACGGCACCGCTGTCTGGGTGCGGCGTGACGTTGCCGCTAGAGACGTGCCGAGGCGTGTTGCCCCCTCTAGAAGCGTCGCCGTCCTCCTCGCCGTCTTCGTTCATGCCCTCCCGTCTCTCGACCTCCTCCTTCTCGTCGCGGATCTGTCTGCGCAGTTGCATGCCTTCATCCATAATTTTGCTGAACTGATCGCGTCGCTCCCGCCACGTCACCGCATAGGTCTCACTTTCCTTCTCCAGGTCGCGAATCTCCTCCTCGAGCTTCTTCAGGTTCGACTCCTGCTCCCCGCGCGGCCGCAGGCCCTTAGCCATGAGCGCGTTGGCGAGCTTGTCATACTCCTTACGTTGGGCAAGCGTCGCCCTGGCGCCATCCAGCTGTTCGCGCAGCCGCGCGTTGTTGTCTCGGACGTTTTGGCATTCCTCGAGAATGCGTTGCTGGTCAGCTTTGTAGCGTTCGCGCTCGCGTACATTCGCATCGAGGAGGAATTGCAGGCGGGCAATACTGCTATCGAATGCGGCGAAGTCGAGGGTGAGGTCGTCTTTGATCTGATCAATCTCTCGCAGGGTTTGAGCGGTCTTCGTCTCCTCCTTCACTTCAGTATCGACGTCATTGTCGCCGTTTGCGCCCTCGGGCGGAGGGGTAGGTTGCTGTTTCGAGTGGGCATTTACAATCGTCGAGATGGACGTGAGCCGCTTGGTGATGCGCTTGAAGGGCTTCTCCTCGATGTTGACCAGTCGCGTTTTGTGCAACTCCTGCTCCTCCTTATCATCCAGAAGACCCCAAGTTGACGCCATTTCGCGGGATTGAACTAAGGAAAGCTGTACTGTGTCGCTTGTCGAATTGTAAAAGCTAGATGAGCTTCGACCCTGGGGCTGTGCTGTAGGAGGTCGATTCCTCGCTGGTCCTGCCAATCAGCTCAAGAACAATAAAGCCGTAGTTCTTCTGAGCTGAGTGTTGCAAGATAGTGCGATTGATGTGAGTGACAAATCGGATACCACAGTTGACGATGATGGAAATGCAGGACTGAACTCAAAAGGAGCAGCTGTAGAGGAAAAGAAGCTCCAGGTCGTGCACCTTTCTTCTTTCACAGCCTTGCAGTAGCAGGCCAGCAGCCACACATGCCTTGCTTAGCGCAGATTGGTCAGCTACCTCTCGAGCCTTAAGCGCTGTGAAGTGGGTCACTGTCCCCTCTACGGTCTACCTGCCCAAGACAAGGAAACTCCGATCGCACTGTCAAAGCGTCTACCTTCCCAGCATTCGGTGATCTCATCTTCGCAAAAACACACCAACTCCCTCAGGCGCAACAGCATTTCTTTGGTTGCAAAACTCAGAAACACCACAACAAAAAGACAGTACAACTCTGCAACACTAGGACATGCCATCTCAGGAAGAACAAGAACTGCTGGCCAGAATCGGCCAGCTTGCGGGTACGTAGTGCTTTTTCTGTAACCAGACACATGTGACAAGAGCGCGTATTCTCTAACGTAGTGGCAAACAGGCAAGATCAACCTTCACAAGGCCCAGCAAGCTGGCGTTCAATCGGTCCCAAGCAGCCAGGCTTCCTATCATCGTCGTATGTTTAATCTTGAGACCGATAAAATCATCCTGCGCTTACACATCACAGACAACACTCACCGACATGGCGCCTTCCCTCACAAGCATCGAGTCCAGCCGTACCCCTCCACCCGAGGAGGCCCGACAGGTTTTCGGCATCGGTCCTTGGTGGTAAACAAAGATGGAACCCAAACACCTCCTTCCGATGCGTCGTCTCCGGCTGAGGGTTCTGTCTCGACCACTTCCTCAGGCGCTTGGATCTCGAAGAACACCCGCGGTCAGAGGTCGCTGATCAACTCGGCCGTTTATGACAAGACCAATGAAGCACACGTTAAGGCCATTGAGGCGTCGCGCCAACAGAAGATTCGTCAGCAGGACGCGCGCGAGCAACAACAGCTCGCCAGCCATTTCCAACGCTACAGCGGCAATGCAAGCGCACCGCATACTCCTACTAACCCGACAGCGACAGGGAATCACGAGATAGAGATTAAAGGCATTCGCTTCCGTGTCGCGAACAACGGCAGCAAGCTCATCAAGGTGTCGGGTGCGTTACGACTACAGCCTTGCACAGCGGAGCAAACTTACAATCGTACAGGAGATCTACACCCAGTCAACGCTACCCCCAAAATCGCCTTCGTTGGGGGTGTCAAATTTCATCGAAGCAAGACCGGTAATCTTTACCGTGACGGTGTGCTCAAAGCTCAACGGTATGAACCCTTCCCTCCTGGCCGACAATTGCTAACTTGAGTCGCTCCCCCAGCCAAACTGGCGTCAAAAAGGTCGACGTGCCTTGCAGCATGTTTTCGCTGACTGGTATTTTACTCACAATCTTGTTCGATTGCCCACGCAATATCCGATCCAACAGATTTGGATGATTTCTTGCTCAAGTGGGTATGATATACCGGACTCCACTAACCACCATCATTTCATTTTAGGTTCATGTGCCAAGGGACCATCTTGTCGATACAAGCACGATGCTACGAAAGTTGCCATTTGCCGTGAGATGCTGCACAAGGGAACCTGCGCCAGTGGGGATTCTTGCGATCTGTCCCATGACTTGACGCCCCAGCGCATTCCGACTTGCGTTCACTTCGTCAAGGGCAATTGTGCCAACTCTACTTGTCCCTATGCTCATTCTAGTGTATCCTCAGGTGCTCTGGTCTGCCGTTCCTTTGGGATGTACGGCTACTGCGACAAGGGAGACGAATGCGAAGAGCGACACGTCTTCGAGTGCCCCGACTTCAGCAACACGGGCAAGTGTAAAACCAGGGGCTGCAAGCTCCTTCACCGCGAGAGGGCAAGCGTCCTTCGAAAACGGGCGGACGGCGACGAGATGGAGGATTTGTCGAGCGATGACGAGCCGGTCGACAGCGACGACGTGGACTCAGACGAAGTGGAGGAATTTATCACCGATGGTGCTGGTGATGATACTGACTTCAAGGTTCAGAAAGATTATATCTCTTTCTGATTGTGATCTGATGCCACCTTGCCGAGGCCGAAAGGTCTCTTTTCACTACTAACATGCTTGCTATCCAGTCCTTGAAGGGGTCCAGACCAAGAAAGGCCTCGAGCCATTTGATGGCGGACATACTTCAAGGTTACGAAAACGATTGGGGAAGAAAACCACAAACTATACCCACAAAGGAAATGCAGAAACAGAGCATTGATACCAAGATACCAAGCACAAAGCAGAAAAGAATAGATAATCATGATAACGATTATGAACAAGAAGAAAAAGAAGACCGAAAAGAAGTAGCAGAAATGGATAGAAATATACATTATGGAACACGAAAAGCAGAAGCAAAAATGTAATACATGGTATGAGCCGAGGTAAAACAGAACGACATTTCAAGACTCTATGTCCTGTCGATGTTTGATGTCTCCTTGAGTCTCGAAAAACTTGATTCTAAAAAAAACATAGAATTCATTGTCTACTATTAGTTTGATCAGTATGTGATATTGGGGGAGAATTCCCCATGTGGAAGAGTGACATTGGGCCAAGCATCATTTCCGCGTGCGGGCCGGCCCAACTGTTCGCGGGTGTCTCAACTAGATCAATTAAAATTTCCATTAGAATTTTACCCCGCCATTCCTCTCCCCTGTGGACTCCTGAAATCAGCCGTCATTCGATGACAATTCCTTGCGCTGACACACCACACAAGCTTCAAGTTCCCACTGCCCAGAGACCCCTCTTGGCCCTTTTTCGCCCCCATTTCCAGTCGGAGCAGTCGGCGCCACTGTCCACATGTTGTCTTCTGATCAGCCCTCCTTTGTCACCCTCGGACAGCGGGCTAGGGGAGCTTATTGCGAGGCGCTAATGGAGACCCGTCATTTGGCAGCCATATCGTGGTCGGATCGGGGGGCTTGCTGATCTGAGGCTGCTGCCGCTGCCTTGTGGAAGGATTCGCGTCTTTGAACAGCACCGCCATCTGCTCAGCCCCTTGGACTACACACTCTCTTCATCCTTTCCCGAAGCTGAGAATAGCACCAAGTCTGACAACACTGCCTGTCCTGCGTTGAACATAGGTCGTTGTTGGATTTTTACTCATGGATAATTGAACAATTGCTCTTTGCCAAAGACACCTTCTTTCTTCTTGTCGCTATTTCTAATTTCCCGGCCCTCCTATTTCTAGACCTGACCTACCTAGTCCATGAGCTTCAAGCATACATGCTGGATCAGCACTAATTCTTTCCCGACGTCATCATGGGCATACGCGACGTTCTCAAGAAGAAGGAGAAACTCGACAACGGCGAGCACAGCAGCAAGGATGCAGTAGACAGGCTGGCGGCCCCCGAGTTCAAGTTCATTCGATCAGACACACACACCCAAGAGGTCATCCACCCCCCGAGCGGGCCCCCGGGCTTCGACGACGGCAAGGAGCACTACCTGAACCCGAACGGTAACGACGGCGGCAGCGGCCAGAAGCCCCGGCGCAGCCTCGACGTCTTCTTCGGCAATAGCCGCTCGCGCAGCGCGTCCGCCTCCTCGCAGGCGAGCTCGACCTCCAACTCCCACTCGAACAACAATGGCAAGATTGGGAGACGGCTGTCGGAGCGGCTGCACCTCAGCCGCTCGCCCGCCTCGTCAGAAAACGTCCCGCAGAACCTACCCGACATTGTGACCACGGCCGAGGGCGGCGAGGGGGACGAGCTGCAGTGGGAGAAGCGCGCGACCATGCTGGCTTCGGCGAATAAGAGCAGGCCCGCGACGCCGTTGGCGAACGACGCGGGCGGTGGAGGGGATATGACGAGAGGCAGGACGCAGGGCGCGGCGGTCTCGTCTCCGGCCATTGACGAGGATATTCAGGAGGCTATCCGGCTGCACGAGGCGGGAGACTTCGAGAACTCGACGGCCATGTTTGCCCGCTTGGCTGACCCGAAAGGGGCGAATAACACCCTGAGCCAGTTCCTATACGGTCTCTCTTTGAGGTGAGTTGCCTTCTGCCTTGCATGTGGACTGGTCTCGGCTCCTACTCGGCACTTTTCCCGTACCTATAAGACGGGATCATGGCGCGGGGCGCGCCACGGCTCGCCGGGCGATCTTGTCGCATCGTGGGGACTGGGAGGGCTTTGGGAGCATGACATTACAGGTGCCACGATACTTGGGCTATTTGGACGGATTTGCTGACAGGGTTTGATAGGCACGGATGGGGTTGCGAACCAGATCCAGAAGGGGCCATCAAGTATCTCTCGGCGGCGGCGTCGAATGCGGCAACCGTCGAGCAGATGGCGTTGAAGGCAGGGCTTAAAAAGGGTGGTGCTGCCAAGGGCGAGCTCGTTCTGGCCATATTCGAGTTGGCGAATTCCTTTCGACACGGCTGGGGCACAGCCAAGGACCCAATAGCGGCAAAGCAGGTGAGTTATCCCGTCCACAGACCAGAGGATGGGAGAGGGGGGCAAGGAATGCCTTTGGAAGCCCAAGGTGGATACGCCTCGAAGGTCTAGAACTGACATCTCGTCGTCATAGTACTATGAGACTGCGGCGAACCTCGGAGATACTGGTGAGTCTGCCATGATGATGCACTCCGAGGCGTTGAGGCCCAATGAATGTGTAGCGGTGCGCTAATCCGCCTTGCTCGTCTCAGATGCTATGAACGAGGTAGCCTGGTGCTATGTAGAAGGCTTCGGATGCAAAAAGGACAAGGTACGTTTGGTCACATATCACCCATCATTTCGAGCGGCATTGCGTCTACCGGGTCCTGCGACGTGAGGTCCAGAACTTGGTCTTTAGGGGCAGCCAGCATCAGCCTCAGCAGCCTCAGGTATTGTGTGGCTTGCACTCAGCGAGACCACACATGCCATGAGATGCGTGAGAGAGCACGCTGATACTGGTTGACGTCCTACTTGGGCTGTCAGCAACCTGCTTCGGTCCAGGTCGGGCATCAATACGGCGACCCTAAAAGACGGCCGCAAACAGGAACCCGCGCAGGACGCATGCTCAATGTCATCACATGAGGCTGACAACATGTCCAGTTTGCAGCAGCCCGTTACTACCGGTTGGCTGAAAAGAACGGCAACAAAACACTAGGCAATTCATGGTAAGTCGAGCCTGTTTATTCATTCCTTTCTTTCTTATCCACTGGTTCGTTGAGGGGGGTTTTCCCCAGAGTTGGATTCGGCGCATGCATCACTGGGGAGGGGGGGCAAAGATGCAGCTCCCTCGTCGCGGATGACTTGCGCGCTGCGGCATTGATAGGCTCCCAAGGCATTGTTTTACTCTGCCTTCCCCCCAAAATGTGGGAGCTCGCCCTGTCATTCAAACTTGGATGACCGTCAGCTTTCCCGGAGCTGCACGCGGTTACCTGCCGCTGCAAGCCCTCCTGCGCTACGCCGCGTTCCCCAGAGCGCCCGCGAAGACTCGATGCTGCTTCCCGAGGCTGCGATTCGTCGCGATTACTTTTTGCCTGCCTGCCAGTTCACTTGCTCGCCTGTCCTTTCTCCCCCTATCTTTGCGTTCCTGACGCCATTACCCACACAATCTAGCACCACCCCGTGTGGCCAGAATTCCTCTGTGATACCCAAAGGCTAACCACCCGCAAACTCAATAGGATCTGGAAGGAAAAGTACGACCCAGATGCCGGCGACAAGAAGAAGAAGTAGAGATAAGGAGGCAGCAAGTCACGGAACAGAGGGGCCCAGTGTGTGCATGAAATGACTGAACCACCGGTGACACGGCATCACATACTCGAAACGGGTGGCACGTTCCGATTCCGGTTCGGCAGTCCCGCTCAGCTTCTACCCGGCGGTTACACTTTCTCTCTCCCTGTCTTTTCCTGTCGCGGTTTCGCCCAACATGCGAGATCGTAACACGAGGCTTCGGCCGTTCCTTGGGCCATCCTGATTATGTGTCCGAAGCACAGCGACGGTGTCGAAAAGAGGGGGAGAGAGGAATGGGGACACAAAACATGGCTCTTTTGTCAGCCTTTCCCTTGATGAGTTCATGTTTTTGTCCTCTTACCCCTCTCCTGAGCGCCCTCACCTAGCGGGATAGGAGTACGACGGCGATCTCATCAGGCGGAACAAGGTGCGTACGGCGACAAATAGACACAGGTACTCCATGTGGGGAACGGCGATTTGTCGGCGTGCTCTACGCTGTGCGCCGTCGGACGGGCGAAACCTTTTGGTCTCGCGAGTGTGGGGAAAGCAGAGAAGCTGGCTCCCGGCGAGGCAGGGAAAGGGGTGGGGGGGAGCAAGCTGTTCTAGTCCTCTCGTGAAGCCTTTGCTTCGTCTTCAGTATTCGTTGGAATGGACTTGCAGGTTAAGCACCTGGATTCTGTATGCGAGACACGGAGCTTGTGGCCATGTTGATGCCTATAGCGAGTTCCCGGCTGCCGTCGCAAAGGCTGATACTGTCCTCTTGCTTTATTGTTTTACTGTTCTACATACCCCGCATTATCACCACAGGCATTCATATTTTAAGAAGAAAAGCGATGCATTCTTTTCAATGAGATCCCATCGACTGTCTATCTTGCGGGTAATGTGACTGATGACTGATGACGGAAGCCGGGTAGACGGGGCCACGGGGCACGGAGAACGGGTGCACCCGACTCGGGTATCTACACGGGAGGGAAAAGCACACCGTGCCTTTCGCCGGGCCGAACCAATATCTCAATTTTGTCCGAGTCTCGTTTGGGTTCCCCAAGGCGCCACGAACCTGCTTCTTCCAGCAGCAGCATATAGAGAGCGCGGGGCTGTCAGGGCGGGGTGATACGCAGACGTTGCAAAATCGTAGCATCGTAACGTCAAACCCCTCTCGTTCTTTCTCTCCTTCTACTCTTCATAACTCTTTTGGCGCTGCCACTGTGAACAAGCTCATACAACCGTCATGGAGTTCCACGATGAACTACCACGATACCCTACCTCACTCACGCTACCTCCCTGCCCTCAGCCGCTCATCCGCCCCTTACTTCTTTCTCGCCTTTGTGTTTGTTCCTGCGGGTCCCCCTTTACCTCAGGGGTACCTGTGTG